ATGCCGGTCGAGTACTGGGTGCCGGATGATCTCGAGGTGCGGGGGCGTCCGCGAGGGTGGTGAGGAGGAGGAGGAGGAGGAGGAGGAGGAGGAGGAGGAGGAGGAGGAGGAGGAGGAGGAGGAGGAGGAAGGAGGAGGAGCAGCAGGAGGAGAGGAGGAGGAGGTGAGGAGGGGGAGGAGGAGGGAGGAGGGAGGAGGAGGAGGAGGAGGAGGAGGAGGAGGAGGAGGAGGAGGAGGAGGAGGAGGGTGAGGAGAAGGAGGAGGAGGAGGAGGAGGCGTCTAGGGGGGGGCATCATGGCGGGGGCCATGATCTCTCCTTTCGGGGGGGGCGTTCTCATGGCGTGGGCCATGACATGTCTTCTTTGAATACGTCCCTTGGTCCCCTCCTCGTCCGCGCGCATGCTTCGGGCCATGATTTGAGAACCCCCCCTGGACGCCCTCCTGTTGGCCGCCCCCGAGAGGTGTTCGTGCCGTGCACTCACGATGGCGGGGAGTTCAGTCCTATCATGAGCTTCGTCCCTTCCGGGGGCCTTCGTCTGAAGAAGGATGCCAAAGTTGCGGACTTGGACCAGGTGCAGCCAGACCAGCTCGAGGGCATTGACCGCCTCGATAAGCTGCACGTCTGCCACGCGCCCGCCATCTTGCATGCTCTGCGAATCCGTTACGCGAGGCAGCAGATCTACACCGCAGTTCAGCGCATGATTGTGGCAGTGAATCCTTTTCGGAAGGTGGACTGCTGTTCTCCGGAGGTGCGCTTGAAGTACTTGGCGGCTGAGCGTTCCAAGGACCTGGAGCCTTCTGTGTTCAGCGTTGGCCTGGACGCAGTAGGTCAGCAACGTCTTACCTATCCCAAGCCCCACTGGGCCGTGGTATCGCTGCCCACCAGCCTACACTCACACTCCTAGGTGGGGGTAGGCCTCGCGAGTCCCGAAAGAACATGCATATATTTCCACCTTGGTGGGTAAGTCGGCCAGTGGGTCCAAGGCCACGCCAGTGGGGATAGGGGTCGGGCACATGACGCTCAATAGGTGGGCTGAGGCATCCAGAGCAGAGCAAGAGAAGGAGTCAGGCAGTGCTGATCAGCGGGGAGTCTGGCGCGGGCAAGACCGAGTGCGCGAAGCTAGTGCTGGACTACGTCACGCTGAAGATCCAGGCCGACGACATGAAAAAGGGAGGCAAGGGGCGTGCGAGCTTGTGCAAGCCACAAATCCAGGAGCAGATCATGAAGACCAACCCTGTGCTCGAGGCGTTCGGAAACGCCATGACGGCGCGCAACAACAACTCGTCCCGCTTCGGCAAGTGGCTCCAGATGCCGGTGTCGCAGAAGGAGGGCATCCAAGGCTGCAGCATCACGGACTACGTTCTGGAGGTCTCGCGCGTCTGCAGCCAAAGCAAAAAGGACAGGAACTATCACGTCTTCTTTCAGTTGCTCGCAGGTAAGGCTTCTGGAGACGACCTCTTCGAGGGTGTCGAGATGCTTCAGGCCGGCCAGTACAGCTTCCTGACGAAGGGGAATCTCGAGGCACCAGGCATCGACGACTCGACCGGCTTCAGAGAGCTGAAGGATGCATTCGGCGTCCTCGGGATTCAGCGCGACTCGCAGGTTGAGATCATCAAAGTAGCCATGGGCATTCTCACGCTGGGCAACCTGACATTCGCGACTGACCCTGCTAGTAACGATGACGCCGCTCAGCTGACCGATCCTGCATCAGGCAAGATGGCGGCTGATCTGCTTGGCGTTGATCCCGAGGAGTTGAGGAAAGCTATACTTGTATTCACGGGCAAAGCTGGTGCAGAGACCATCACCAAGGAACGGAAGAAGAGCGAGGCGGATCGAACGCGCGACTCACTCGCCCGAGTTCTATATGGCAAGTTGTTCAAATGGCTCATCACGAAGATCAACAGCCTCCTGGGGCAAGGCATGGATTCACCGACTTTCTTCGGCGTGCTCGACATCGCAGGCTTCGAGTCCTTCGAGGCAAACTCGCTCGAGCAGCTGTTTATCAACTTGACCAACGAGCTCCTCCAGGGCCACTTCAACGACTACTTCTTCGAGGCGCAGAAGCAGGAGTACAAGGCTGAGGGTCTCACGGTGGAGGTGTCGTTCAAGGATAACACGGACGTCGTTGCCCTGGTCGGCTACCGTGTCGACAAGGGCGCGAGCAAGCAGGGCATCCTCGACGTTCTGGACGACTCCGCAAAGACCGCCACGGCAGACGACCAGGCTTTCTACAACCAGCTCAAGAAGGTCCACGAGCAGCACGAGAGGATGGTGTGGCCCAAGGTGAAGTCGCTGGACTTCACGGTCGCAGGGGACCAGCCAATGACACACGCACACAGACGAGCACACACACACACACACACACACGCACGCACGCACGCACGCACGCACGCACGCACGCACGCACGCACGCACGCACGCACGCACGCACGCACAGACAGACAGACAGACAGACAGACAGACAGACAGACAGACAGACAGACAGACAGACAGACAGACAGACAGACAGACACACACACACACACACGCGCAGGCACCTTTTCTCTCCCTCTCACACACACGCACACACAACACCACACACCACACACACACACGCGCACACGCACACAAGCACGCAAACGCACACGCACGCGCACACGCACACGCAAACGCACGCGCACACGCACACGCACACGCACGCACACACACAAACACACACACACACACACACCACCACCACCACACACACACACACACATACACACACAAAGACACACACACATACACGTAAATGTGTTGGGAGCCCGCGCGGTGGCTCGGATTCGGAGGGAGACTTGGCGCCGACCTGGGAGGCCCGCGCGGATCTCCCAACGTTCTCCGGGAGGCTGCATGCACGTGCCGTGGCTGGCCTGGTGCGAGGGCTACATGCACAGGTGGCCGCGGGTGCTGTTGCGGTGCTCGGTGCTCGTGCGGCGTGGCGCGACGTCTCTCCGCGTGTGCGTCCGGTTGGCGTGGCCACCTGCAGGCTCCACGCGTTGCTCCAGCCAGGTGTGCTCCCAGCTTGCTGGCGCAAGGTGGCGGCGGGCTCGTGTCGCGTCGCCGCGGCGGCGACCGCTGCGCGGGCGCTCGGGGAGGAGCGCTGGCCAGTGGCCCAGAATCGTCGGACGTCGAACGACCTACGCTGTTGGAAGGCAGGGATCGTTCGAGTTTTAAAGATGCACGCGGCAGAGGCTCGTGTCGCGTCGATGTGGCGGCGGCCCCAGCGCTGGCGCTCAAGGCTGAGCGCCGCCGGCGGCCCAGGGTCGGCCGATATGTCGAGCGACGGGCGCTGTCGGCACGCCTCGAGCGCTCGTGGTGGAGCGCTCCACACGCGGCGTCGGAAGCCGAAGCGCACGTAGTCACGACGCGAACCGGTCGTCCGGCGGGCACGACAGAGAAGAGCTCGGCCGGCCCCCGGGCGCCCCGCGGAACCTCCGCACCCCCCCCCCTTTGGCGCTCGGCATGCAGGCGCCCGAGGGTAGCGCAGGGAGCCCGCGGCCCGACGACAGGGGCGGCCCTGCACCCTGGGATGCGTCTCGGGTCTTGCAGCATCTCGTGTCGTGTGTGTGCGTGTCCCCTCTGGGACCGCGCCCCCTGCTCCAGTCCATGGCGTACCTTGTCCTGTGCAAGCTCTTCGGCACCGCCTGTTTTCTGAGCCCTCCGGCCGCCTGAGGCCCCGCCCGCCCGTGCCCCGTCTCCCCAATTCGGGTTACCCGCGTCCCGTTTAGCTCTTGACTGGAAGGGGCCCGCTCCCGACCCGCAGACCAAAAGTGTGTGTGTGTGTGTGTGTCATCCGCCAGTGTTCTTTTCACGCCGCGGCCCTGGAGGTCCAGCCGCTCTCTCCAGGGCCGACTTTGGGCCCGAGGACCAGCCGCAGGGGTTCGAGGCACGCGCATCGTCGGAGATCTGGGCGCCTGTCGGTTCTCGGCGGCCGTCGGCGGCGAGCGATGGAGGGGAAGTGAGGAAGAGAAGGCCTTCTCAGAAGGCGGCGGGACTTCTCAGGAGCCCTCGCGCCCTCTGCGAAGTTCTCTGTGTCTTCGGGGAATGGGCCTTCTCCTTCTCACTTGCATTCGGTGTCGATTCGTTCTTTGGGGGCCGCAGAAGCCACTTTGGGGCGTCGCTTCGCCATGCTACGTCATGCTACTCGTTGATCTTCAACGCCATGCTATGCCCTGTAATGCTACGCCATGCTGCGACATCCGACTGTGCGAGTAGAGAGGAGATCCACGCCGTGGTAAGGGATGGGAGGGAGGGGTAGGACGTTAGATGGGACGCGAGCGCACCCGGCTTACTTCGCCCCCTCGCTCGCCGCCAAGGTCAGGCACTTCGCGGGGGACGTGAAGTACACGGCCACGGGCTTCCGGGAGAAGAACAGCGACAGGCCGCCAGAGAGCACCGGGGCCCTGCTGGCGGGCTCGAGCCTGTCGCTGCTGCGGGAGGTGGCCGCGGCCATGGCCGAGGGGGAGGAGGAGGAGCAGCAGCGCGGCAGGGCGGGCGGGGCCAGGAACCGCGGGCAGGAAGCGGAAGAGTCAGGGACGGAATGCGTGCACGTCGGTCGTTGGAAACGAGGTGTCTGTGGCTATCCAGATCTCGGGCTGATTCGGGCGCCTTCCTACTGCAGGCGTCGGGCGGTTCTACCTCTTCCCTCCTCCTCAGGGGGCGGGGGGAAGCCTAATTTACTTCCAGCGCCTTCCTCATTCATGCTTCTGCCCACGTCTTCCGATCGACGGGTAAGCAGTCGGCATCGTTTGGCCGATCCCCATGGCCCCACAGGGCCACGGCATCTCGGCCTGCCGGGAACCCGCGCCCAAGAAGGTGGGAGCAGGCCCCGCGGAGCTGGGAGAAGAGCAGCGTGTGCCCCACCTGGGGGTAGGTACAGTCAAACACCCTAATAAGGACGCGCGACTTTGCTCAGGGTGCCCCTGCGTCCTTGCTCTTCCTTGCTCTTGCGTCCTTGAGGTTTTCGTCGTCCGCCGCCCCAAAAAATCCCAACTTCGGCTTCCAAGGGTCTTGCGTCCTTAGCGCGCGTCCTTATTAGGGTTTTTGGCTGTAAGTCGGTCAGTGAGACCAGGGCCATGCCAATTGGAGATGGGGATCGGTGAAACGATGCTCAAACATACACTTGTCGGAGGTCCGCGCGGCCTGTTGGGGTCAGCGTTGTACCCCCCCCCTCCTCCTTGGCAGCGCGTCCAGAGCCGACCCAAGATATCTGCGCGGGCCTCCGACAGCTTATGGTGATACCATCGCACTGCTCCTGTAGAGAAGCACGCTTGGGCGCTCCAGAAAGGGCTTCGCCTTCGAGGGATCGAGAGGTCCACGCCTCGCCCTCGGCGCAAGGCTGACGGAGAAGGCCGTCGGAGAAGGCCGGCGGAAGACGGGCGGATCAACGCGTGAGTTACGCGTAAGAGAGGCCTTCCACCGGAGGGACCTTTGGTGCAGGCCCCCCTCCTCCTCCTCCTCCTCCTCCTCCTCCTCCTCCTCCTCCTCCTCCTCCTCCTCCTGCTCCTCCTCCTCCTCCTCCTCCTCCTCCTCCTCCTCTCCTCCTCCTCCTCCTCTTCCTCCTCCTCCTCCTCTTCCTCCTCCTCCTCCTCCTCCTCCTCCTCCTCCTCCTCCTCCTCCTCCGTCCTCCTCCTCCTCCTCCTCCTCCTCCTCCTCCTCCTCCTCCCTCCGCCTCCTCCTCCTCCTCCCTCCTCCTCCTCCTCCTCCTCCTCCTCTTCCTCTCCTCCCCGTCCTCCTCCTCCTCCTCCTCCTCCTCCTCCTCCTGGTAACCCGCCCGCGCGCCACTGCTCGTGGGGGCTCCCGCACCTGCCTCCCCCTCCACGATCGGCGAGCACAGCCACGGCAGCGCCCTCGGCGGCTGGTCACTGACAGCAGATGCGACGGCAGCGGCCTGCGCGCTCCTCTCCTCCTCCTCCTCCTCCTCCTCCTCCTCCTCCTCCTCCTCCTCCTCCTCCTCCTCCTCCTCCTCCTCCTCCTCCTCCCCGCCCCTTCCACGCTGCCCCCTCGAGGCCGCGCACCCGCGGTCGCTCTCTCCTCGGGGACGCTCCCTGCGCGTGGCCGAGAGACGGGGGCGGGCCCGCCGGGAGACGCTGCCAAGGGGCCGGCGGGAGGCCAGGGGAAGCGGCGGACTGCCTTGGTGGAGGACGATCGATGGAGAGGAAGCATGTTGCCAAGAATTTCCAGATGTCTGAAACATGTGTTCAACATGTTTAAATTATGTAAAACAGATGTAAAACATGCTTAGAACAGGTTTCCGACAGTTGAAACACATTTTAAATTCAATGGTCGCACTGTTCGGGTGTCCATTGTCGTGGCATCCACAAGACTACCTCCCAGAAGAGGTGCCGATTGTTTGGGGCTCCGGGCCCCCACCCTGGCCCACTTACACTACTCACACTCCGACTCTCTCAGACGTGCGACGCACTCATACTCGAGCAAGGCGCTGGTTCCAGCAGCCCAAGAGGGAACCGTCAGGGGTGGGGACATTCCATTATTCGCGCCCAGTTGTTGGGGATGTCTCAAGCGGTTCGCTTGTTTTGGCCACCCCGGCTTCTTTGTTCTGGTGGCCAACTGCTCACGGCGGCGTATCAGCTGGGCACCCCAAGGGGGAGCCGCCAGAGGTAGAGACAATCCCTTCTTCGGGCCCAGATGATGGGGATGCCTCAAATAATTTGCCTGTTTGGGCCACACATAGACACCCCAGCCTTCTTTCTTTGGTGGCCCGATGCTCACAGTAGCAACTGTGGCAGCTCGGCACCCCAATGGGGAGCTGCTAGGGGTGGGGTCACTCCCTTCTTCGCGCCCAGATGATGGGGGCGTCTCAAGCGGTTTGTCTGTTTCGACCCCGAAACTTTTCTCTTTCGACGGTCCAATCATCATTGCGGGAAAGCGGGCGTGGCAGCTGGGCATCTTGCGGAGGAGCCGCCAGGGGGGGGGTGCATGTCATTCTCCGCGCCCAGATTGTGGGGATTTCTCTTGCGATTCGCTTGATATGCCCCTCCAGGCTTTGCTGCCCCCCCCCACACACACAATTCTCTGCTTTCGGAGAAGGTTGAAAGGATTTCTCGAGGAAGGCGTTCGTTTCAGCACACCAGAGGTGTGCTGCCAGGGGGTACCTCACTAGCCCGTTCGCGGCCAGCTTGTGGGGATGCCTCGAGCGGTTTGCATTATTGGTGGCCTCGGCTTCTCTGCTTTCAGCGCAGCTTGTGAGGATGCCTCGAGCGAGGCGCGGGCTTCAGCACCCCCCTCGGTCCCTTCACCGCACCCAGACGCCCGGAGCCAGGCGCAACTGAGGCGCACATGTAGGGGACCCCCGCGTCGAGTAACCCCACTCCGCGCCCGAGCCCCCGACCCCGCCCTCCAAGGGGCAGCCCCCCGCCGCAGAGTCGCTCTTGATGGCCCTGACAGCGGGCCCCGGAGGCCGACGCCGAGGACCAGCGCAGGGACTGAAGTCAGCCTGGCGGGGGGCCCAGCCGCACGCAGCTGTGTGTACCGCAGGACAGGTGGAACGTCAGGGAGGGGCCAGCAACAAGAACGCCAAGGCTCAGGAGAGGAAAAAACACACAGACACAATTAATCTTCGATTCCCCAGAAAATATGGGAAAATATGGGAAGTGGGGGGGAAGACAAACACCCAGAAAATATGGGAAAATATGGGGATTCGTCTTACTTGTGTGTATTTATTTGTGTGTCCTGGGGCCCCTTCAAAGGCGCACGTGAGAGGGACAGAGCGACGTGACGGTGCTGGTGGGGTCGCAGGGGTCGGCCGCGACGGGCTACATCTGGACGTGACCCGCTGCGGCGGATCTGCACGTCTGTTGGCGCGGTTTTCCTTGGAAGGGGTCCAGGATTGCTGCCCTCCTCCGACAGCAGCGCCGACGGCAGGGCGATCCTTGGTGGCGCTTCGGGATTCTGCCCCCTGCCCAGGGGGCCGGCGTCCATGGGTCGGCTGCTCGGGGAGCCGGAAGTTGGTGCCCTCGACGGAGAGCCTGGGCTCTGCGCTTTGCGCGGAGGGGGTCCAGGATTTTGCTTTCGACGGAGGGCACTGGTTCGAGTCGCCTGTGGGGTCGGCCAGGGTTTTTCTGATCTAGACGGAGGGCTTGGGCTTGGGTTTGATTCGAGGGCTACTGGCTACCTTGCCCGCCGCTTGGGCGCATTGCTTGCCAATGCTTTGGATTGACTTGCGTTGCTTGTCATTGTTTGGCATTGTGGCATTGTCTTGCGTTGCTTGGCATTGTGTGGACCAAGTATGCGGATCCTGAGACTGGAGCCTGAGGGTAGAGCTCCATATGGGGCCACGACGCGTGTAAGGGGTGCACCGAGATGTTGTGGACCAGGTATGCGGACCCTGAGACTGGGGCCTTAGGTGGGGCCCCCTATGTGGCCACGAAGCGTGTGAGGGATGCGACGGAAACGTGTGGACCAGGTATGCTGACCCTGAGGTGGTGCTCCTTCTGGAGCCACGACTCTGTGTGAGGGGTGCGCCGAAATGGTGTGGACGAGGCCTGCGAACCAGGGAAGGAGAAGGGGAGGGGGAAGGAAGAGTGAGCGAGACGCGGGGCGATGCTGATTCGAAACGAGGACCCAGCTCAGCACGGGACGGTCGGGAAGCTCTTGCCGCCGCAGGCTCGGGGTTAGCACGCGCAGGGTGCGCCCGGCTCTCCCGTGCAGGCGCTTGAGGGCCCTTGCACCTCCCAGGCGGCGCCTCTGGGGCCGAGCCCTGGCGTGCTCCCGCGCGCCGGGGAATGGGGGGTCGAGGAGGGAGGTGTGGCGCAGGGGAGGAAGGAGGAGGAGGAGGAGGAGGAGGAGGTGGAGGAGGAGAAGGAGGAGGAGGAGGAGGAGGAGGAGGAGTCGGAGGAGGAGGAGGAGGGGCTGGGGGAGGGGGGGGGGAGGGGGCAGAGGCGAAACGGATGCGGATACCGCTGCTCCTCCTGGAGACCCCTCGTCACCATGGGCGGGGTCTCTTCGAAGTCCTGGTCAGAGTGTGCCCAGAAAAGTTTCAAGGAGTAGCGGGATCGGCACCTTCGTGTTATTTCATGAGGGGGAGAAGGGATGGAGGAACAAATGAACAGGATGGGGACGAGGGATTGCGGGACGATTTATCAGCGCGGCGATAACGTCTATTGCCGAGGCCATCGATTTGGAAGAAGCCGTGGACTTGATATGGGAGCTTCTGGGAGCGTCATCAACACGTGAGAGTTCTCGCAACCTCACAACGCCATTGACAGGCCAGTGCCATCGCGCTTCATGCCCCTGGAAAAGGAAATAGTCAGGAGTGGGTGGAAGAGGAGGAGGAGGAGGAGGAGGAGGAGGAGGAGGAGGAGGAGGAGGAGGAGGAGGAGGAGGAGGAGGAGGGAAGAAGGACCAGCAGCGATCGAAGGCGCGTCCGAGGCAGGGACGGTGTCAGTGGACAGCTTCCGACCGCAGATCTGCCCCAGAGCCGGCAGCGCCAGGTGTGGGGGGGGCAGGCGACGCTTGCCGCCGCACGGGCCACGCTCGGCGACCTGCAAAGGGGATGGTTGCGCCGGGGTGTGGCTTGAGATCGGCACCGCTGGGGCCTGGGGAGCACGACGCCGTCCTCGCTGGGTCTCCTCGGGGTGCGGCGGGGAGCAACGTCAAGCTTGGCATCGCTCGGACGTGTGCATTTTTCCTTCGGCGAGGACCATCGAGGAGCATCCTTGATCACTTGGCGACAAAACCACGCACGAAACTGGAAAAAGCACAAGAGATGGACGTCCGAGCGATGGCCAGTCAAGGTCCACGCCTGCCGTCTCAGGGTGCCCGTTGCAGGCCACACCCGTCGGAGCCGCCGGCACGCACTCGCGCGGACCTCCCAGAAGTTTACGTTCACGGCAGGTCCATGTCGTGTCGATGCGGCGGCGGCCCCCGCGTGGGCACTCCAGGTTGAGCGCCGCCGGCGGCCCAGAGTGGGCCGATCTCGGGCGATCTGCGCTACCGGCGAGCCTCGAGCGCTCAAGGTTGAGCGATCCACGCGGTGCCACAAGCCAGCGAGCTTGTCGTCGCGACGCGGACCTGCCGCGCAGCAGGCACGTCAAGGGAGAGCTCGGCTTGCCGGCAGGGGCCCCACGGAAGTCTCTCATCCCCCAATGGCCCTGCGGGCTCACAGAAGCCCTGGGACATCTCAGGGAACTCAGATTACGAAGCATGTGCCCAAGGTGTCTGATAGATCTCTGATCGCCTTTGTCTGCGGTAGCTGCTCGGTTTTCTGAGGAGGGCGAAGACGCTGAACGCCAGCTTCCAGGCCTCCCTGGGCGATCTCATGGCCAAGCTTCGGGAGGCGGAGCCCCACTTTGTCCGCTGCATCAAGCCGAACAAGGACAAGGTGCCGAGCATCTTCGAGTCCAAACTCGCGTACGAGCAGCTGAGCAACACGGGGGTCGTGGAGGCCATGCGCATTCGGCAGGATGGGCTCCCGATCAGGCTCGAGTTCGAGGATCGTCATGTCGGGTCTTGAGGGAAGCGGCTCCCGAGTCTTTTTTGTCGGTGGCCCTGAGGCCGTCAAACAGTGACTCGGGAGGTCCTGTGGGGAAGGCCCCAGGGTCCAGGACTGGGTTCCCACGGGACTCGAGACCCGTCTCCTTCATGCTGAGAGGACTTCTTGGGGAAGTACCGCGCCGCCCTTCCCGATGCAGGCATGCTCCAGACTGGGCAGGGCGGTCCCATGGACGATGCCTCCGAGCTCGTGCAGGCATTCGTCAACCTGCAGTACATCAGCGAGGAGCAGGTCCAGGTGGGCAAGAGCAAGGTCTGATGGGTCCGTTTTCCACCACCACGACCAGAAGTTGGAGGGGAGGAGGAGGAGGAGGAGGAGGAGGAGGAGGAGGAGGAGGAGGAGGAGGACCCCCTCCCCTCCAACTCATGGTGGTGGTGGTGGTGGTGAAAAACATGCGCAGCAAGGTCTTCGCGACGATGGCGGGGACACATTCGCTGGACAGGGCCCTGCACGGCGTGGTGAAGAACCGGTTGCGGGAGGCCCTCGAGGACGAGAACGTGGAGGAGCTGGAGAAGCAGATCCAATCGGCCTGTGAAGTCCGCCTGGGCGAGCGTGAACCCGCCCTGGTGGAGGCCAGGCGCGGACTGGCAGAGCTCAGGTCCAGGGAGCAAGCTGCACAGACATACACTTGCGGAGGTCCGCGCTGACATCGTGGGAGCGGCGCAATGGACCCTCCTCCATTGCGCCCGGGGCGCGCGGCGCCGGAGGCGTCCCCACTGGGGGTCCGGCGCCGGCCCCGGGCGCCCGCGCGGACCTCCGCGAGGTTGTGCATCCCTTCCTTGTCCTCTTCACCAGGTGCAGGCAGAGCCTGGCCGACGCGACGCAGGCGTACGACCACGCGGCCATGTCCGCCGCGGTCGCGGAGGCAGAGGGGCTGGGCCTGGCCGCCTGCCCCGAGCTGGACGCGTGCAGGGAGGCGAAGGCCCAGTGGGAGAAGGCGAAGGATCGGCGGGGCGAGCCCGGGGGGGGGGGACTGCAGAGGGGGGGCCTCCTCCGAAGACTCCGAGGGCCTCTCGCCTGCTGGGAAGCCTTCTGAGCCTCCTCCGCAGCCCCGGCGGCTGCTGAGAAGGCCTGCCCCTTGCTGCCTGCCCGCCCGGGCGCGCCGCCGGGAGGAGCAGCGGGATGCGCTCGAGCAGACGCTTTCGCAGAAGGGCAAGAAGCCCCGCGCCGAGTTCATGAAGCACCTCGAGGCGGCCATCGAGGAGGGCAAGCGGGCCGGCCTGACCGACCAGGACTGCCGGAAGGCGGCGGAGGAGCTGGCCGCCGAGAGTCGCCGGCTGAAGGCCAGCGAGGCCATCGCGCAGGCCATCAAGAGCAGGCGGATCGCAGGGTTGCGCAAGGCCGTCGAGGAGGGCCAGAAGAGCGGCATGGAGCCCGAGGAGCTGCGGGGGGCGGAGCAGCTGGCGGACGAGCTGGAGAGGAGCGCGCGCTCGGCGCTCCAGGAGGCGCTGGAGCACTGCAAGATGGGGCCCCTGGAGAAGGCGATCGGCCAGGCCCGAGCCGTGGGCATGCCCGAGGGCGAGCTGGGGCCCGCCCTGGCCGCGCTGCAGGTGGAGCAGGCGAAGGCCGACGCCAAGAGGAGGCTCCACTCCGCCGTGCAGCGCGGGTCCGTCGCCGGCCTGACTGCGGCGCTGCAGGGCGCCCAGGACGAGGGGCCCCATTTTCCACCACCGCGTACCAGATGTAGGATGGGGAAGGGGGGAGGATGGGGAGGTCCTCCTCCTCCTCCTCCTCCTTCTCCTCCTCCTCCTCCTCCTCCTCCTCCGCCCTTTCCTACCCATGGTAGTGGTGGTGGAAGATCGGCCCATCACAGGAGCTGGGCCTGGCGGAGGCGGAGCCCGAGGCTGTGCAGGAGTGCAGCGAGGCGCTGGAGAGGGCCCACCGCAGGGAGCAGGCCAGGGCCGACATCGCGCGGGCGCTCGAGGCGGGCAGGACGCAGCAGAGGCCGACGCTGGAGCGGCTGGAGGCCCTGCTGCGGGAGGCGCTCGAGGCCGGGCTCCCAGAGGACGCCGAGGAGGTGCAGGGCCTGAGGGGCGCCCTTGAGCTGGAGAGACGCAGGGAGGCGGTGCGCGAGCTGCTTCGGGCCGCGGTGGAGGGCGGCAGCGTGGAGGCGATCGAGGCGGCGATCGCGAAGGGCGAGGAGCTGGACATGGTGGCGGAGGACCTCGCGGGCGCGAGGGCGGCGATCGTCCTCGAGAGGCGGCGCGAGGCGGCGAGGGACGGCCTGGCCGCCGCAATGAGGAAACGCACGGTGGACGCTTTGCGAGCGGCGATCGCAGAGGCGGAGGCCTGCGGGCTGAGCGAGAACGAGCTGCGCAAGCCCCGCGAGTGCTTCGAGGCGGACAGCGCGCGCGATCAGGTGAGGGCCAACCTCGCCAAGGCGGCTCAGAGCAGGGACACGGCGCTTCTAGAGGTCTGGCTGGCGAAGGCCAAGGAGCTGGGCATGAGCAAGGCCGAGGTGCGCGAGGCGGAGAAGGTGCTGGCCGCGGAGAGGAGCAAGGATGAGACCAAGGCGCGCCTAAAGTCCGTGGCCAAGGCCAAGCCCCTGGACATGGAGGAGCTGGTGGCCGCCCTGCAGGAGGCGGAGATGGTGGGCCTCACCGCCGCGGAGTGCCGCCCTGCCCGGAAGATCCTGGAGCAGGAGCTCCGCAAGGTGGCCGCGCGCAGGGGCGCGGAGGAGGCCGCGGAGTTCTGCTCCGGGCCGGTCGCGCCCGGTGACGAGGGCGCGCACGCGGCGCGCGTCCAGCGGCTGCAGAAGGCCATCCAGGTCGGGGAGCAGGCGCTGCTCGAGGCCTCGGAGCTGCTCCACGTGAGCCAGCTGCTGCAGGAGGAAAGCGCCAGGGAGGCGGCCCGGCAGCGCCTCGCCGAGGCCGTCAGGGGCGGCGGCGTCGCGGCCCTGCGGGAGGCCCTCGCGGAGGCCGAGGAGGCCAGGATGGAGAAGTGGGAGACGCAGGCCGCCAGGGACGCGCTGCAGGACCTGCAGCGGAAGGCCCAGGCCTCGGCGGCCATCCGCACGGCCATCAACTGCGACGACGCCGGCGCGATCAGCAGCGCCATCGTCGAGGGCACCAGGGCCGGGCTGGAGCCGGCCGAGCTGGACAGGGCCCGGGAAGCGCACCGGGCGGCGCAGCGCCGCGCGGACGCCAGGGGCGCGCTGCAGGAGGCGGCCCGCGCCCGCAGGCTCTCTGCGCTCGGGGCCGCCATCGCCGAGGCGGCGGCCGCGGAGGTGCCGGGCCAGGAGGTGTCGGGTGTCGCCAGAAGCTTGGCATCGCTCGGACGTGTGCATTTTTTCCTTCGGCGAGGACCATCGAGGAGCATCCTTGATCATTCGGCGAAATAACCACGCACGAAACCGAAAAAAACACAGGGAATGGACGTCCGAGCGATGGCGAGCGTTGGGAGCCCCCGAGTCAGGTGGCGGAGGCCCAGGCCGTGCTCCGCCAGGAGGAGCTGAAGGTATCTAGGGGCGAAGCCTCGGCGCACGTGCAGATGTGCGCTCGCACGGGCCTCTCGAGAGATCGCGTTGCGCGACCGTTCTGGGACGTGAGCGCGCGAGCGGGCGAATTGGTCGGGGGCGGACAGAACCCCCAACAGTGACACGTCGATTAGTGAATTGTCCGTTTTCGGTTCTGGAGAGGGCGCCGTGGCCGTTATTTTCCAGGTCTGCGCCCGCCAGGTTTGGGCCTCAGGTAGTTTTCACTAAACCACGTTTTACTAAAGGGAGGTCTGTCCATCCCCGAATTGAGGGGGGCGGAGGAAGACATCAGGCCCACCCCGCTCTGCCTTCTCCCTCCTCCCAGGACGAAGGGGCACGAGCAGACGGGGACGTGGGGGGGAGGAGGAGGAAGGAGGTGGACCTCTGTCTGCCGTGAAAGGCGGCGGCCCGCGACGAGATCGAGCGGGCGGGCGACCTCGGACAGGTGGAGCCCCTGCAGGCCGCCCTCGACCGCGCCGAGGAGGCTGGCCTCGAGGCGGCGGAGACGGCCGCGGGCCGCGCCCTGCTGGCCAGGCTCCGCAGGTGCGAGCGCGCGCGCCAGGGGCTGGAGAATGCGGTGGCCGCGGGCGACGTGGGCGCCATGCAGGCCGCGATCGCGGAGGCTCCGAGGAGGACGAAGATGATACCGATGCCGCTGCTCGCCCTGGGAGAGCCCTCGGCGCCACGACTGGGTTTTCCTCGAGGTCCTAGTCAAGAACGCATCGCGGGAGAGGTCTGGGGACTAGAGTTAAGTCGGGCCTGTCCCTCTACAGGGGGAACATTCAAAAATAGTCCACAAATAGTAAGGGGACGATTTTTTGACTATTTTTGCCCATTGGTGGGGGTATTTTTGGGTATGTGTAATTTTTCGCTGAAAATCCCCCTGAAGTGGGACAGGCCCGACTTAAGACTAGAGTCTAGAGCGGTATCGGTGCCCTCTCGTTCACCCAGAGGCGTGCGCGGCCGGGCTGGACAGCGCGGAGATCGCGCCCTGGCAGAAGGCGCTCGCGGTGGAGACTCGCAAGGGCGCCGCGAGAGAGGAGCTGGCCGCCGCGGTCCGCATGGAGGTCCCGCAGGCGATCACCGCCGCCATCGAAGAGGCTCGCATCCCAAGATGGCCCCCCCGACCTCGACCCCTACGGGGGCGAGGCAGACTTGTCGAGTGGGTGCCGCGACTGGGGGGGGGCTTCTTTGGGGCGGCCCACGCTCGAGCGCTAGCGTCAAAGGCCGCCGGAAGCTTGCCCCCACCCCCCGTTCCGGCACCCAGCCTGCCAGGGATTCCCGCGGGTGCCGCTGTTCGACGGCGAGCGAGGGGGGGAAGTGAGAAGGAGCAGGCCTTCTCAGAAGGCGGCGGGACTTCGCAGAAGCCCTAGCGCCTCCTGCGCAGTTTCCCGCGTCTTCCAGTAAGGCCTCGAAACCTTCCTAGAGGGCTCGGGGGAGTGCCGAGCCTTCTGAGGAGGCCCGCCCTTTCCCGCTTCCCCCCGGGGGCTCGCCGCCGAGCCGTCGGGGTGTGGGGGTGTCATTCCGGCTCGTCGGAGGCGGTGGCCGCGGGGCTGGAGGAGTTCGAGCTGCACCAGGCGCGGCAGCTGCTGAGGGCCGAGGTGCGCCGGGCCGCCGCCAGGGACGCCCTGGCGGAGGCCTCTGGCAGCGGCGACGTGCAGGCGCTGCGCGAGGCTCGGCGGGGCGGGGAGCGGAGCACGTTGGGGGCGGCCAGGAACTTCTGGCCCCCAGGCCTTGGGCGATTTTCGGCCTCGCGGGGGTTCCTCGCCAGGCTTCGGGACCGCCAGCAAGAACGACGCAGGAGGAAGACCCGGTCCCCGGGGAAAGGGTCGGGACTTCCAGGGGCCCCGTGCTGAAGAAAGTAGGGCGTCGCATGTCTGTGTTAGCGTGTCGTTCCGCCAGTGCTGACCCACCACGCTTCGGCGCGACGCTTGATCGTCGTCCCGGTCCCAAGGCGTCAACGTCCCGAGCCGTTCCCCGCCTTCGCCCCGCGGCAGGAAGCGATACGCTATCCGCTCGACATTCGTAGCGTGTCGCTGGGGCCGCCGCCGCGACACGCCAAACAACTGCTCCCGACCGTATGTCCCGCCGTCGGGGGCGCCTGTCCCACCCTGGGATCCGGGCGTCACCATTTTTCACGCCAGGCGTTTTCGCCCGGTTTCGGGCCCCCGGGCCCTCACATGTCGATGCGGTCCGAGAAACGCTGTAGAGAAATATCGGTCGAACCGGAGTATTCAATTAAGACCCACCCTTTTCGGCGAAGCTATATCACTTCTCGTCCCCTGGAAGTGATACTCCGCACCCTGACTCCTCAGTCGCAGATCCCACCAGGTTCCCTATAGGATGGCAATCGGCCTCCCATCGGAATTGAAGATGAGCGCGCGAGGATTGTAGCAGGAAGCCAGTAAGACCCCAGCTGTATCCCAGTAGCGAACCATAGTCCCAGTGGGTTGGTGGGGGTCATGTTTCTCTTGGCCAAGCTTGCGTGATGTGGATGAGAAGCCAGGGGGAATTTTCCTCGATGGGGGCCATGAAGGGTTCCTCTTCTACTCATCTTTCTCTCACCGCCCCCGCGGAACACATACAGAGACACACACACACAGATATAGAGACATACAAGACCGCATTGGCGCTTCGCGCCGTGCGCTTAGGTCCTTGAGGTTTGGCATGCAGACAGGAGAGCAATCAGGTACATCGGAACACTTAGCAATAACTTGTTGCTGCCTCTGGGCCTCGTCATTGTAATAATGTAGTTCTCATACTCGCCCTACCCTGCGAGCCTCTTGTAAGCCTCAGGACGGTTTTTAAGGGCTTGTTGGGGCCTTCTGGAAGCCTCCTAGGTTCTTTCTGGGGGCCTCTGGCCACCCTGGCTTCCAACTGCTGTCTCCCTGGACGACCGGGTCACGATTTGGAATGATTCGGGAGATGTTTTGAGGCCATCTTGGGCCGTCATGGGGCTATCTTCGGGCCTTCTTGGGGCCCTGTTGGGCCGTCTTGGGGCTCCTCCTGGACTGCCTGGTGAAATTTGGGTCGATTCTCTGGCCTCCTGGGCGGTCGCAGACGCCCGGAAGACCGAAGAACTGAGCATCCCCAACATCATACAAAAACCATAGAACATCCATGTTTCTGGTGTTTCGGATGCCTCTTGGGGGTCTTCTCTCGGTCGTCTTGGGGCGTCTCGTGGGTGTCTGGGGCCTCTGTGGCCTCTGCGGGCTCTCGCGGGGCCGTCCGGCAGCCCTTTTGACCGAGTTGGGCCCGTTGTCCAGGCCCAGCAGGGGCTCCAGGGGCCCCGGAAAGCATAGGGGACCGTCTGCAAGCCAGGGTGCCCCTGGGGCCAAGGAGAGGATCTGGAGGGGTCCCGTGTAGGGGGGCCTCGCAGGGTCTTGGATGATAGAAGTTTTGGGAATGGAGACATCATTGGTGTGTATATATATATATATACACATGCATGTTTTGCGTGTGTGGTTTGCTGAACGATGTCGCTTGGCGGTCCCCCTCGCGAATTGTTTATTTCATTTGTGTGCGTGTGTGTGTGTGTGTGTGTGTTCCTGATACCGCCGTTGGGGATTCTTAGTCGCTTCTTAGGGTCAGGGCTCTGGTTGATATTTCGCGTGATGTCGTACGTTTCGCGACGTCGGATCTCAGGGCAGGGCGGCGGTGGCACGGTGGGGTGAACCGTCAGAAACATTGGTTGAGCGTGTCGCGCCGCCAGTTCGTCCAAGCGACGGCACGTACAGTCAAAACGTTGAAATAAGGAACAATTTGAGTTCGGAAGGGGCTCGATGTTCCTCAGGCTCCTCCATCGCTGCTCCTCCTGCCCTCCTCTGGCACGGCGGCGCTTCCAGGGCCAAAATGGGGCTTCGTTCCTTCTTTGGCGTTCCTCCTTTCAGCGGCCCGACTGTACGGCATCCCCGAAGGCGCGACCCTCCCCCCAGGGCTGGTTTGCCCTCCCGAGCCGCTTTCTCGCGGTCCCGGGGCCCAGCGAGGGCTCCCGCGGGGGGCAGACCAGACGCAGAGAGGAGCTTTCGCCTCGGCTCCCGCCCCTTCAGTGTGCTATGGATGCCTCGAGCGCTGCTCCTCGCCCGCCACACACGTCTCGAGGCGGTCGTCGAGGGCGAGTCGGCCGGCGTCGACCACGCCCTGCTGGAGATGGCGACGGCGCGGCTGCGGGAGGAGGAGGGCCGCGCGGCCGCGCGCACGGCCCTGCAGATGGCCACCGCCTCCTGCGACCCCGGGGCCCTGAGGGCGGCCCTCGAGCAGGGCAGAGAGGCGCGGCGCGGGGTGGCCTCGGGGGGCAACGTCGGAGCGCAGGGTCGAGGTGAGAGGTCTTTGGGCGATCTCGTGGGTTCTCGTCTGCTTTTCAGCCTCGGGACGCCTTCCAGCGGCCGCGCCCTGCCGAGGGCATTCGGGGGGGGGGGCTGGGTCGCCCTGAGCGGCCGCCGGGACAGCCGAGTGATGACCCGAGACCCAGACGACGAGGACCACTTGGAAGACTAGGCGTGTGGAGGGCGATCAATGGAGAGGAAGCATGTTGCCAAATGATTTCCAGATGTCTAGAACATGTGTTAAAACGTTGTTTTAAACATGTAAAAAGCATGTTTCAAACATTTGCATGCGTTTCCCTACATTTTAAACACATGTTTAATTCAATTATAGGACTGTTAGGGTGTCCACTGTCGTGGCATCCACAAGACTAGGCTCAAGGGGGATGATGCACGGGCCCCGAATCGCCCACCGATCTAACGGCTTGGGCTGGTTTCCGACCACGGACTGATGTACCAACGCTGATGCTGACTTGGAGCTCCCAGGATTCTGTTGCATCTTCGGGGGACCTCGCCTGTCCCAAAAACTGGTGTCTTTTTGGGGGCCCAACGCGTGCTCGATGCGGACTCGACGCGGATTGGGCGTGGATTCGACGCGGGGACAGGGCCGCGACGAGACAGACAAGGTCCCCCGAGGATGCAACATAAGAGCTGCATCCCCCCAAAAAGGCGCTTCGATGTATCGATTTCGGCCAGCCCGGTCCGATTCGCTTCCGATGCCTCGACGCTCTATAAAGCGGCCCGATGCTCGCACGGCGCCGCTGCTTGGCATCCCAGCCCTAAGTATGCCCCTTGCGATCCGATGCGGCTTCGGCTCCGCGGTGCTGCAGACCGATCCGACGCACATAGAGCGATCCGATCCGCATTCCCAGTCTTCTGGGACGGGGAGAGAGGGGGTGATACGGTAGAGGGAAACAATTACTGAACACTCCCCCTCCCCCCCAAACTCAACGTTGGCACGCGCGGGGGAGACTGCGGTCGAAGTGCATCTCATCAAACCCACCGCCAACTTTGAACATTGGGGGGAGGGAGAAGCGTTGACGGATGAATGTGGCATGTGTTCGCTAATTTGTTCCGAGGCCTGTACGACATCTGATGAGTATGCAGCCGGCTTCGGCCCCGCGGCTGCAGGCGCCTTCCCGGGCACGCAGGAGCCCTCGGCGCCGGGAGGCGCCGGAGAACCCAGTCACGGTGAGGCCCGCGAGGGCCGCAGAAGAGGGGCCCTCTGAGGGCCTCCAAGAGAGGCCCTTCATAGGGGCCCCAAAAGGGGCCTCTGGGGCCCGAGGGGCGCACCGCTCCCTTCCCCCCCCCCTTTATTCAGGAGGGGAAAAAACACACAGACAAAATTCATCGTCGACTCCCAGGAAGATATGGGAGAATATGGGAAGTGGGGGGGAAGACAGAAACCCAGGAAATATTTGGAAGTATGGGGAAGCCGGTTATTTGTGTGTATTTATTTGTGTGTCCCAGGGCCCCTTCATTTATCGCCCCCCCGTTAATCTCTAGGCCTCCTAAATGGGGTCGGAGCAGGCGGGGTCGGAGGATCTTGCCGCATCGCCGATGCGTCGGCGATGCATCGGCGATGCCGCTCGATGTGGGGCCCACTTCTCTCCACGCCGGCGTCGCCGATGAATCGCCGACGTCGCCAGTGTATCGCCGATGCATCGCCGAAGCATCGCCGATGCATCGCCGATGTATCGCCGATGCGGCGCGATCCCCCAGCCCCATCTACTCCGATCCCATCTAGGCGGCCTCTATAATCGGCGGTAAACCCCAGGGGGAAACTTTGAAGGGGCGGGCCTTCTCCGAAGGCTCGGAAGCTCCCCGGCCTTCCGAGAAGTTTGCGAAGCCTCCCCCGAAGATGCAGAGGACCTCTCAGAAGGCTGGAGGCTGGAGGGCTTCTGAGAAGTACCGCCGCCTTCTGAGAAGTCCTTCTCCTTCTCACTCCCGCCCGTTTATCGCCCCCCGTCAAGCGACGCTTAATTCACGGGTCACGGCACATGCTGCTGCTTGCGCGCACACAGTGGCGACCATTCGGGCGAGGAGAACTATGCACATGCACTGGTCTTGGCGAGGCTCATCCTGGGCCCAGGATCAATGTGCATGTGCCTCTCCAGCCACGCCACGAAGGCGCATGAACAGATATCCTGGCCCCAGGGTGATGGCCCCATAGGGAGCTCCACCTAAGGCGCTAAAGGGAAAGGTTGCATGGCGGCCTCGCCCCATTTCGGCACACCCCTCACACGCTTCGAGGCCCCATAGGGAGCTCCACCGAAGGCCCCAGAGGGAAAGGTTGCATGGCGGTCTCGCTTCATTGCGGCACCCCCCTCACACGTTTCGTGGCCCCATAGGGAGCTCCAGGCCCCAGTGGGAAAGTTCGCATTGCGGCCTCGCTTCATTTCGGCACTACCCTGACACGTTTCGTGGCCCCATACGGAGCTCCACCTCAGGCCCCAGAGGGAAAGTTCGCATTGCGGCATCGGGCCATTTCGGCACACCTCTCACGAGGATCGTGGCCCCTATAAGGGGGCTCCACCAAAGGCCCCAGTGACAGGGCTCGCGTGGCGGCCTCGGGCCATTTCGGCACACCCCTCACGAGGATCGCGACCCCTTAGCTGTGCTGCTTCAATAACCGCGCCTGGGCGTCGTACTCCGCCTTGTCGACGTGCAACGCCACCTCCCCTCTTATGGCTCTCAGAGCCCTCTCCTGCTTGTGCTCGTCGGTCAGAGGGACGCCGTCCTCGTCGTCGTCGGCGCCTGCGAAGACGGCCACGAACGCGTCCCTGAGCATGTCGGGCTACGGCGGGAATCCGTGGCCACATAAGGGAGCGCGGGCGAAGATGGCATTCACAATTCCGGTATGCACAACTGCACATGGTTGGGTCGTTCGCCACGCTAATTACCCTCTCGGCCATAACGCGTGTTATGCCCCCTACACTCGCCTCCCCTTTCAAGGGAAGTAACGCCCCCCCCCTAGGTGCGTCACTGGCGCTGCGGCAGTGCTTCCGACACCACAGTCTGGGGCGGGGGGGGCCTACGTTATGCCCTCTCCCGCCCCCCCCCCCACCATAACGCTTGTGATGGCCGCGAACAAAAACACGCGCTCCATCGAACACCGTCTCGCGTTACCTTGCAACAGCAAATTCACGCACGACATCGAACAATTATCCTGGCGAGCGACCCAACAATTGCAGCTGTGAGTACCGCTCTCGGTGGAACCCCATATGAGGCCACGATCCGCGTGAGGGCTGTGCCGACATGGGCGGGGGGATGCATGCAAACCCTGCCAGTGGGGCCTTCGGTGGAGCTCTTTATGGGGCCACGATCCTCGTGAGGGGTGTGCCGACATGGGCCCGAGGCCGCCATGCAAACCCTGCCGCTGGGGCCGTCGGTGGAGCTCCCTATGGGGCCACGATCCTCGTGAGAGGTGTGCCCAAAACGGCCCGAGGCCGCCATGCGAACCCTGCCACTGGCGCCTTCGGTGGAGCTCCCTATGGGCTCACGATCCTCGTGAGGGGGTGCGCCGAAATAGGGCTGGGCCGCCATGCGAACCCTGCCACTGGCGCCTTCGGTGGAGTTCCTTTGGGGCCACGGTTCTAGTGAGGGGTGTGCCGGAATGGCCCAAGGCCGGCTTGCGAACCCTGCCATTGGCCCCTTCGTTGGAGCTCCTATGCGGCCACGATCCTAGTGAGGGGTGTGCCGGAATGGCCCGAGGCCGCCATGCGAACCCTGCCACGGCGCCGTCGGTGGAGCTCGTATGGGGCCACGATCCTCGTGAGGGGTGTGCCGGAATGGTCCGAGGCCGCCATGCGAACCCTGCCACTGGCGCCTTCGGTGGAGGACTGTACGGGGCCACGATCCTCGTCATGGGTGCGCCGAAATGGCGGGAGGCCGCTATGCGAACCCTGCCACTGGCGCCTTCGGTGGAGCTCTCTATGGGGCCACAATCCTTGTGAGGGGTGTTCCGAACTTGCCCGAGGCCGCCATGCGAACCTTGCCACTGGCGCCTTCGGTGGAGCTCCCTATGAGGGGTGTGCCGAAATGGCCCGAGGCCGCTATGCGAACTCTGCCAGTGGCCCTTTCGGCGGAGCTCTTATGGGGCCACGATCCTCGTGAGAGGTGTGCCCAAATGGCCCGAGGCTGCCATGCGGACCCTGCCACTGGCGCCTTCGGTGGAGCTCTGTATGGGGCCACGGTCCCTGTGAGGGGTGTTCGAAATGGCTCGAGGCCGCCATGCGAACCCTGCCCCCAAGGCCTCGATGGAGCTCCATATTGGGCCACGATCCTAGTGAGGGGTATGCCGAAATGGGCGGGGGCATGCATGCAAAACCCTGCCACTGGCGCCCTCGGTGGAGCTCTCTATGGGGCCACGATCCTCGTGAGAGGTGTGCCCAAATGGCCCGAGGCCGCCATGAGAACCCTGCCACTGGCGCCTTCGGTGGAGCTCCCTATGGGCCACGATCCTCGTGAGGGGTGTGCCGACATGGCCCGAGGCCGCCATGCGAACCCTGCCACTGGCGCCTTCGGTGGAGTTCCTTTGGGACCACGATCCTAGTGAGGGGTGTGCCAGAATGGCCCGAGGCCGCCATGCGGACCCTGCCACTTTGCCTTCGGTGGAGCTCTGTATGGGGCCACGGTCCCTGTGAGGGGTGTGCCGAAATGGCCCGAGGCCACCATGCGAACCCTGCCATGGCGCCTTCGGTGGAGCCACGAAGCGCGGGAGGGGTGTGCCGAAGTGGGCGTGGCTGACGTAGGCGGGCGGTGCCACTGGGGCCTTCGGTGGAGCCTCTTATGGGGCCACGAAACGTGGGAGGGGTGTGCCGAGGAGAGCACCACGAAACATTGTAATGGGGGGTGCAACGCAGGGAGGAAGGAGGAGGGAGGAGGAGGCGGGAGGAGGCGGGAGGAGGAGGGAGGAAGGAGGCGGGAGGAGAACGCGGGGACCGTCTCTTTAGAACGAGGACCCAAGACCACATGACGGTTGGAAAAAGGAGACGGGGAAGGGACGTCCGAGCGATGGCGAGCCTCCGCCTCCAGGTGACCGCCGTGCGGCGGCGAAATCAGAGCCAGAATCTCGCCGGTTCACGTCTCGGGTCCTTCGGTGGGCGGCGGGGGCAGGTCGTCGCACACGTGCCGAGGTCCGACCCCCCCGCCCGCCTCCCAGCGATGCAGGCAAACTCGAGGGTTGATAGGGGGCAGTCGGCGGCGAGCGTGTGGGGGGGACTCGAGAAGGAAGGGGCCCTCTTAGAAGGCGGCGGGGCTTCTCAGAAGCCCTCCTGGGCCTTCTGAGCTGACTTCGTTTTTCAGGGAAGGCTTGGAGCCACAACTTCTCGGGAGGCCGCGGCCTTCGGAGGAGGCCCGCCCCTCCTCGCTCCCCCCCCCGGGGCGTTCCGCCGATGAACGGAGGGGCGATGCACGGGGGGGAAAGGAACAGTGCACCTTTCGGGCCCCGGAGGCCCCCTTTGGAGCCCACGAGGGCTCCTTCCAGGGGCCAGCAGCGGCCCCTTCTCTGCTTGCCCTCGGTGCCCTCCTTCGATTGATCGCCCCCACCCCCCCCATGACGTGACGCCCAAGGGAGGAGGGGGAGGGGTTTGCCCCCCCCCCCCCAACAAAAAATTATCCTGGCGAAGGACCCAACCATATGCAGTTGTGAATGCCGCAATTGTGAATGCCATCTTCGCCTGCGCTCCCTATGTGGCCACGGCTTCCCGCCGGAGCCCGACATGCTCAGGGACACGTTCGTGGCCGTCTTCGCGGGCGCCGACGACGACAAGGACGGCGTCCCTCTCACCGAGGAGCAGAAGCAGGAGAAGGCCTTGAGAGCCATGAGGGAGGAGGTGGCGTTGCACGTCGACAAGGCGGAGTACGACGCCCATGCGCGGTTGTTGAAGCAGCGCAACTATGGGGCCACGATCCTCGTGAGGGATGTGCCGCTATGGCCCGGGGCCGCCATGCGAACCCTGCCACTGGCGCCTTCGGTGGAGCTCCAGTGGGGCCACGGTCCTCGTGAGCCGAAATGGCCCGAGGCCGCCATGCGAACCCTGCCACTGGGGCCTTCGGTGGAGCTCCCCATAGGGCCACGATCCTCGTGAGGGGTGTGCCGAAATGGCCCGAGGCCGCCATGCGAACCCTGCCACTGGCGCCTTCGGTGGAGCTCCCTATGGGGCCACGATCCTCGTGAGGGGTGTGCCGAAATGGCCCGAGGCCGCCATGCGAACCCTGCCACTGGCGCCTTCGGTGGAGCTCCCTATGGGGCCACGATCCTCGTGAGGGGTGTGCCGAAATGGCCCGAGGCCGCCATGCGAACCCTGCCACTGGGGGCCTTCGGTGGAGCTCCCTATGGGGCCACAATCCTCGAGAGGGGTGCGCCGGAATGGCCCGAGGCCGCCATGCGAACCCTGCCATTGGGGGCCTTCGGTGGAGCTCCCTATGCGGCCACGATCCTCGTGAGGGGTGTGCCGAAATGGCCCGAGGCCGCCATGCGAACCCTGCCTCTGGGGCCTTCGGTGGAGCTCCCTATGTGGCCACGATCCTCGTGAGGAGTGTGCCGAAATGGCCCGAGGCCGCCATGCGAACCTGCCACTGGCGCCTTCGGCGGGGCTCCCTATGGGGCCACGATCCTCGTGAGGGGTGTGCCGAAATGGCCCGAGGCCGCCATGCGAACCCTGCCACTGCGCCTTCGGTGGAGCTCCCTATGGGGCCACGATCCTCGTGAGGGGTGTGCCGAAATGGCCCGAGGCCGCCATGCGAACCCTGCCACTGGCGCCTTCGGTGGAGCTCCCTATGGGGCCACGATCCTCGTGAGGGGTGTGCCGAAATGGCCCGAGGCCGCCATGCGAACCCTGCCACTGGCGCCTTCGTGGAGCTCCCTATGGGGCCACGATCCTGATGAGGGGTGTGCCGAAATGGCCCGAGGCCGCCATGCGAACCCTGCCACTGGCGCCTTCGGTGGAGCTCCCTATGGGGCCACGATCCTCGTGAGGGGTGTGCCGAAATGGCCCGAGGCCGCCATGCGAACCCTGCCACTGGGGGCCTTCGGTGGAGCTCCCTATGGGGCCACGATCCTCGTGAGGGGTGTGCCGAAATGGCCCGAGGCCGCCATGCGAACCCTGCCACTGGCGCCTTCGGCGGGGCTCCCTATGGGGCCACGATCCTCGTGAGGGGTGTGCCGAAATGGCCCGAGGCCGCCATGCGAACCCTGCCACTGCAGCCTTCGGTGGAGCTCCCTATGGGGCCACGATCCTCGTGAGGGGTGTGCCGAAATGGCCCGAGGCCGCCATGCGAACCCTGCCACTGGAGCCTTCGGTGGAGCTCCCTATGGGGCCACGATCTTCGTGAGGGGTGTGCCGAAATGGCCCGAGGCCGCCATGCGAACCCTGCCAGTGGGGCCTTCGGTGGAGCTCCCTATGGGGCCACGAAGCGGTGGGTGAAACGCAGGGATGAAGAGGAGGAAGGGGGCAGCGGGAGGAGGAGTGGACGCGGGGCGCTGTCTCTTCAAAACGAGGACCCAACACCACAGGATGGTTGGGAAAAAGGGGGAGGGGCTTGGCCCGGGTGCTGACCGTCACGCGCCAGAGGATGACGGCACAATCTCGGGGAGGACCCCGAGGTCCGACCGTCGCGCCTCCAGTCGCGCCGGCCGCCCCGAGCCTTCGGAATGAAGGCCCGCACCTCCTCGCTTCCCCCCTGGGCTCGTCGAGTAGGCAGGGCTCGGATGCCGCAGCCTGGGTAACAATCTGGTTGACCCAACAGGGGGTCCAGCGACGAGGGGGTGGTGCAATAGATTTGGTGCAATAGATTTGTGGGGTTGCAACAGTTTTGGGGAGTGCAATACATCACAGTGCGCAAGTGTATGGCTGGGATTTCGCGTGCAACACACGAGTTGCAGCACAATGCAAGACAGTTCTCTGGCGCAACACATACATAGATGCCATACAGTTGCGTCAGCTATACTGCACCACCCCTTTCAGCTGGACCCCCCTTTTGGGCCACGAGGAACCAATCGCCCCCGCCTCGCCCGCCCCGGGAGGCCGCGCTGGACACTTCGGAGCTCCGGGACGCCCGCGCCGCGCTGAGGGCCGAGGAGCGCAGGGCCGCCGCGCGGGAGGCCCTGCAGGAGGCGGTGCGCACCCGCAACGTGGCGGCCGTCGAGGACGCGCTCGTGGAGGGGAAGGCTCCAGGGCAACGCTGGGCGTATTGAGGCCTCCCAGGAAACTATGGGAAAATATAGGAAGTGGGGGGGAAGACAACAACCCAAACAATATTTGCAAATACGGGGAATCCTGTTATTTGTGTATTTATTATTGTGTCCCAGGGCCCCTTCATTTATCGAACCCCCGTTAATCTCTAGGCCTCCCAGATGGGGTCGAAGTAGATAGGGGTCGGAGGATCGCGCCGCATCGCCGAGGCATCGCCGATGCGGCTCGATGTGGAGCCCGATGTGCTTCGCGTCGACGTCGCCGATGTATCGCCGACGTCGGCGATGCATCGCCGCTGCATCGCCGATGCATCGCTGATGCATCGCCGATGCATCGTCGATGTATCGGCGATGCGGCGCGATCCTCCGACCCCATCCACTCCGACCCCATCTAGGAGGCCTCTAGCTTAGACCCCCCTCGAGTCATGGAAAATCGCGACGGCAGGTGTGTCGCTATTCTCTCCCGCTGGGGACCCTTGCTGGGCCTCGGGACTGTCCAAAGAACGAGTCAGGATGAAACACCCGTCCTGGGGAAAGGGGCCGAGACCTCCTGGGTGCGACATAACGGAAGAAAGAATCACGACGTCGGGTTTTTTGTTGGGGGGGGGTTCAGGGTAGACGAAAGGCTCCGAGGCTTGCGGCTTTCGGACGTTTTCGCACGTTCTCGCCGGTTTTCCAGCCTCGGGACGCCTTCCAGCGGCTGCGCCTCGCCGCGAGCGTTCCGGGGGGGGCCCAGATCGCCCTGCACGGCCGTTGGACAGCCGACTGGTGACCCGGAAACGACGAGGACCACTGGGGGGACTAGGCTCAGGGAGGATGCGTCGGCCCCGAATCGCCTACTCATCGCCGACGGGGTCTCAACAGCCCTTTGCCGCCAGGAGCGTGCGGAGTCGCGAGCGGCGGCTTTTCGCCGACCCGTCAGCGATGTGCATCCGATTCCGGCTCGCTGCTTCTGCCCCGGAGCTGATTCCAGCGTTGCCCCGCGAAGGCGGCCGGCGTGGAGGAGCGGATCCTGGCTCCTGCCCGCGACCTTCAGCTCCGGATGGAGATCGGGGGGCGCCAACAAAGCTCAGCATCGTTCGACCGATCCCCACCCCTGCCATGCTCACTGGATGTCAGGGCCTTTCGGTCGCGGCCAACGGGATCGGTTGCTACCGATTTGCTTCCAATTCTGGGGCACGCCACGAAATGCTTTGCTTCAAGATCGGTCGCGACCAGTCGCCACACGGACTTCCCGTCCCCCCCAGGTGGAGATAGGCCCCGCGGAACCAGAAGGGCTCAGCACATCTCTTCCACCCAGGGGGGTAAGTCGGCCAGTGGGGCCCAGAAGGCCATGCCATTAGGGATGGGGACCGGTTCAGCGATGCTCGCAGTTCCCTACACTGGTCGATTATACGTAAGAGTGACCTTTCGCCGGAGTGACCTTTGGTGTGGGCACACTGGGGTCCCCGACCGCGGAACGCGATGCGATAGTTGTACATTGCGCGCTTGTGTGTTGCCCCCCCGCGGCTCCCAACAAGCCGCGCACCAAAGGTCACTCTTACCCAGGGTCACCCATGCGTGTCCCCTACACTGATCCTGGCCAGGCCCGTCCTGTTCCCCGCATCGGCTTGTACGCCCTCCTGGCATTGGCCAGGGAGGCGCATGCAGGATCCCCCGGGGGCTCGAGCACCTCCATTTCGGAGGTCGGCAGCCAGAGTGGAGGAAAACACCCCCCCACACGGGAGGACGCACCTCCAGTGTTCCCCACCCGACAGGTTGGGGTTCTCAGACTCTGAGAACAGAGCTCCCGAACGGCCTCGGACACCCTGCATACCGCGCCCGCCAGGCCCCCCAACGGTCCCGCTGCTCCCTGGACGCCCCGTCCCGCGTCGTCGACCAATGACCACTGCAGGCCGCGGCCGCCAGGCCCCACGCGGCCCAGGTCTCCCTGCGGATCCCGCCTCGCGTTCTCGCGTGCGGACCGGTCGAAGCAGCATCCTAGAGATAGTTGCTGGACCCCCTTGGGCACACCGTCCTGGGGCCAGGATCGGCCCGGCCAGGATCGGTGCTGGTGCACACGGTGGTTTGGGCCCGCTGCTCAGCGTGCCGCGCCGCCGGGTCTGGCCCGTCCGCACTCTGGCGCGGCGCGCCGACCGCGTCGCGGCCTCCAAGCGTCACCGTCGCGGGCCTCTCCCCGCCTGGGGCCCAGCGGGGCAGCGCGCTGCCGCCCTGCGAGGCGTGGCGGGTCGCCAGGGCCGCCGCCGCGACACGCTGAGCAGAGGCTCCGGGCCGTGCCGCGGGCGCCCTCCCCAGGAGAGCGCCGCCGCCGCGCGCGCGCAGCTCAGCGCCGCCACCTCCCAGCGCGACGAGCGCGCGCTGCGGGCCGCCCTGGCCGCAGGCCGCAGCGTCGGCCTGTCGGGTGCCGAGATGGACGAGGACCTTCGGGCTTGGCTCGGCAGGAAGTCGTGGGAGCCATGGGTGCCCTTGCAGGGTCTTCAGGGTGCACTGGCGTCGGTTTGCGTCTGGTGGTCGGTGGGGCAGCGCCGACGCTTCGTCGGTTCGCGCCGGCGAGCGTCGATTCAGCGTCGGTGCGTCGATCGGCGTCGATTCGCAAGAGCCAGCAAGATGGTATGGGAGGCTCCCATGAGTTGCCACTAAAGCTTGGAGTCGGCTGGGGGGCTGAGGTGCGGCATCAACGGTTCCAGCCGTCGGGAAGGGGGAGAGGCACCATGATGCACGGGGTTCGTTCCTTGTACTTCTTGGTGGGTACTGGATGCCAAATTTTGCACCTTTTCCCCTCCTGCCTAGTCTTGCTGGTGCCCATCCAGAGCAGACCCCCTAGGCGCCTCCGACTCAGGACCATGTTGAGGGGGAATAGGCTGATGGGGGCGTTTTGGAAGTTTTTTGGGGGAGCAGCTCCAAAGTGTTCGAGGCCTGGGGTGGTTTCCATCAGATGTGCCTAGTCGAACGCGTTCCAGGGCTGCCGAAATCTTCCCGAGCGGCCGCCGGAGGCCCGAGCTGGCATCGAGGTTCGAGGCTCGAGGTTTTCGGATGCCTTCGGGGGCTCTCGTCGGATTTCCAGCCTCGGGGTTCCTTCCAGCAGCTGCGCCTCGCCGAGGGCGTTTTCTGTGGCTGCCCGGATGGCCCCGAACGGTCGCCAGAGGCCCGAGATGTAGGACCCCGAAACCCCACGGCGATGACCACTGGGCTGGATAGGCAAGGGGGGGGGGCTGCATCGACCCCCAACCGCCCAGGCATCGCCTACGGGTCGATGGCCGACCGCGCTCGGGACCGTGCGGCTCCGCCGCGGGGCGCCGCACGCCCGAGCGCCGTCGGCGATGCGTCGCCGACTCCAGCGCGATGCCTCCCCCCCCCCGGGGAGCTGGCCTCCCGATCGCTGCCCCGCAGGCCCAGAGGGTGCTGGAGGAGGAGGAGCGCCGGTCCAGGGCCCGCCACTGGCTGGCGGAGGCCCTGGAGGGCAGGCAGCCGGGCCTCCCAAGTGGGGTCCAGGCAGGCGTGGTCAGAGGATCGCGCCGCAGCGCCGACGCATCGAGGATGCGGCTCTGTGTGGAGCCTGATCTGCTCGACGCCGACGGCGCCGAAGCATCGCCGACGCATCGCCGATGCATCGCCGATGCGTCGGCGACGCGCTGGGGATCCTCGACTGCTCGGCTCCCATTGGGGAGGCCTCAGAGGCAGGTGCACGTATTCGAGGCGGTGCTCGACGAGTGTGCGGCCGCGGGCGTGAGGAACGCCCCCGAGCTGGCCCTGCTGAGGCGCGTCTTGGCCGCCAGGGCGCGGCTGTCGCAGGCCATGAAGGGGGACGCCGGCTCCAGCGAGCTCCGCGGGGCCATCTCCGACTGCGAGGCCAGGACGTCCCAGAAGCGGTGCGGTGGCCATGCAGTCAAAGCGCCTGGTAAGGACGCGCGCCTTGAGCTGGGTTGCCCTTGTGTCCTTTGCCTCTGCGGCCCGTCCTTTGCCGTTCCCCTTGCGCCCGCGGGGTTTTGGTCGCCCGCCGCCCGACGAGTCCCAACTTCGGCCTCCAATGGTCTTGCGTCCTTGCCACCCGTCCTGAATACGCGCGTTGACTGTGCCGTCGGGTGAGTCAGTGAGGATGTGGGATGATCACGCCGGTCTGTTACCGTGTTGTTCCCGGAAATCCGAGGTCCTGAATGGTTCCATCTCCCGCCCCCCGCAGTCTCAAAGCAGCAGCCGGCAGAGAGTCACAGCCGGTCGATGTTTTCACCACCTTGCTGGTGCACATCTGCACGGAAGCTTTTCCGCCCATGCGCCGTCGAGAGGCGCCTGGTTCCTTACTTAGATGTTCCTTACTTCGCTTGCTTTTCCTGGCTGAGCCGGGCCATGGGCCCAAAGGCGCCGCCCTCCTGGGCGCAACGCAGCCGCTCGCTCGCTCGCTCACTGAACGGTTCGATCCTCGACACCGCAGCTCCCGACCCCTTCCACCTGGGGGCGGCTTTGTTTCTTGTGTGGCCCCGGGCAGGTGCTTTGATGGCCCTCTGGGGCCCGAGGGCGGCCGGGGCCCCAGAGGCCGACCTCGAGGAGCAACAACGCCGGGACGGGGCAAGTCACGTCGTCGGGGAGAGCCAGGGCGAGGGGGTACCGATACAGTTTTTTGGTCGGCGGGTCGAGAGCGGGCCTCTCCCGGTTAAGAGCTAGGCGGGGCGCGCGAAGCACTAATTGGGGAGACAGGGCGCGGGCGGGCGGGGCCTCAGGCGGCCGGAGGGTGCGGAGTACAGGCGGTGCCGAAGAGCTTGCACAGGAAAAGGTACGCCTTGGACAGGAGCCGGGGGCGAAGTCCCGGAGGGAGAGCGAAGTGGTGTTGTGGGGGTACCGATGCAGCTGTTCCCGGGCTTCTTCTGGGGTGCGCTCCGACCAGCAGGCCGGGGAGGATGCCGCCGTGGCGACGAGAGTTCCCCAGGTCGAGCAGCGATGTCGGTGTCCTTTCCTCCTCTGAGAGTCGTCGGGGATCTGGGACTGGAGGAGGAGGAGGAGGAGGAGGAGGAGAAGGAGGAGGAGGAGGAGGAGGAGGAGGGGGAGGGGGAGGGAGGGGGAGGAGGAGGAGGAGGAGGATGAGGAGGAGGAGGAGGAGGAGGAGGAGGAGGAGGAGGAGGAGGAGGAGGAGGAGGAGGGAGGAGGAGGAGGAGGGGGGAGGAGGAGGGGGGAGGAGGAGGAGGGGGAGGAGGAGGAGGAGGAGAAGAAGAAGGAGGAGGAGGAGGGGGAGGAGGAGGAGGGGGAGGAGGAGGAGGAGGAGGAGGAGGAGGAGGAGGGGGAGGAGGAGGAGGAGGAGGAGGGGGAGGGGACAGTGGCTGCGCCTCGCCGAGAGCGTTCTCGGCCCCAAGGGCGGCCCCCGACCTCGCCGCCCTGTCTGCGGCGGCCGAGCTTCTTGGAAGCCCCCTGGGCAAGAAGCAGTAACAGGGGCTTCTCGGAAGCTCTACACATTGTTCATTTCTAAGTGTTCGAAAGTTCTTTGATTTTTTGGGGCACCGAGATCCTTTCATTCCTCTTCCTGGCCACTAGGGGGTCAGGAACATTCAGAAACGAGCACAACTAGAAATGAGCACGAATAGAAATGAACGAAGTGCATCAGAAGGCGGGGGGGCGTCTCAGAAGCCCGCCCAGTTTTTATTCTAAGGCTTCTGAGAAGCCTCTGCCCCCCCCCGCCTTCGCAGAACGGCCTCCCTCTTCGCGCGACCCCCTCGTGGGCACCGCCTGGTGTCTGGGGGCCCTGAGATCCGACGTTGCGAAACATTGGGCCACACTGGAAAATGAGTGATGCAAGAAAGCGTGGTCGTCTTCGCCGACATTTGCGCGTAAGCTGCCCGCGTAAGGTCGCGCGTAAATGCCCTCGCTTCCAATGTGGCATGCCGCGCTGGCGGCCCGGATAAGCCGTAGCGCAAGGTCGCCATGCCATCTCGCACAAGACCCTTTTCATTGTCGCCGCTGCAATTTCTCGGGGCCCTGAGATCTGCCGTTGCGAAAGAATAAACGAGACACTGCGAAAATCCCTGCCGAAGCCTGGACCCCACCTTTCCGCTGCACTGCTCGAGCCCGCTCGACCTGTGAGGGCGGCACCCGGCGACAAAACGGCGCTTGTGAAGAATTGCAGCGCCGTCGGGGGCGGCCAGGAGGGGGGGAGATGACTAGCGTGTGTGCGTGTGGGTGTGTGGATCTCATGGCCAGGTCATGGCATCCCACGCATATCCTGCTCCCCCTCCTCAATTTCAATGCGTCCCCTGGCCCCCCTGCGCCGCGCACATGCCTCGGGTCATGATGTGCGCGCCCCCCTCCTCGACGCCCCCCTCTGGGACGCCCCCGACGCCAGGATCTTAGGGCATGTCCGGGGAGCTCCCCCGAGAGGCCCCCGACCTCGCCGCCCTCTGCGCGGCCGAGCTGCCGCCGGCGAGGCGCCTGCTGGAGGAGCTCAGGGCGCCTGGCAACGGGGCTCAGCGCAGACTGGGCTCCGCATACACGCCAGATCCCTTGGCATCGCTCGGACGTGTGCATTTTTTCTCGGCGAGGACCATCGAGGACCATCCTGGACCATCGAGCAAAAAATAACACGCACGAAACCGAAAAATGCACGGGAAATGGAAGTCCGAGCGACGGCAAGGATCCTGCGGGAATCCAGCACATCGAGCAGTAAGAGACGGGGCCAATGCAAACGGGGGTCAGCCAGAGCGCCGGATCGGGCAAGATCCTGCAGGGCCAGGGCTGCACTGACCCAGGTCAGCGTGCAGGATCCTGCAGGATCTCGCAGGATCCTGCAAGGCCTGACTGACCCCCCTTTGCGCTGACCCAGGTCAGTGCGTCCCCGATCAAAGCCAGAGTGTTGTTGAGCCAGGCTTGGGAGCCACTCGCGGTCTTGGAGGTGGCATCACACATCTTGGCTGAGCCAGGCTGGGCAGCCCCCCAGTAAAACATTGCAGAGCATATTCTCACGAGCGGCAACCGTATCCGTATCTCTGGGTTCCAGGGGGCGATCCCGCGGATACGCGGTCGCACGGATACGTTCCGCGCGGGGCATCCGCGGACACAACGCTCCGTATTCGCGGGGTCGCGGCCCAAGGGCCCGGCCCGCGAGGCCGCGGATACGGACATGTCTTTCGCCCACGCGCCACCGCCGCCACCGCCGCCGCTGCCGCCATCGTCGTCGTCGTTGTTGTCGTTGTCGTTGTCGTCGTCGTCGTCGTCGTCGTCGTCGTCGTCGTCGTCGGCATCGCCGTCGGCGTCGTCGTCGTCGTTGGCGTCGTCGTCGTCGTCGCCGTCGTTGTCCTCGTTGTCGTCGTCGTCGTCGGCGTCGTCGTCGTCGTCGTCGTTGTCGTCGTCGTCGTCGGCTTTGTCGTCCTCGTCATCGTCGCCGGCGTCGGGGTCGACGTCGTCGTCGTCGTTCTCGTCGTCGTCGTCGGCGTCGTCATCGTCGGCGTCGTCGTCTCCGTTGTCGTCGTCGTCGTCGTCGTCGTCGTCGGGTTCGTCGTCGTCGTCGTCGGCGTCGTCCTCGTTTTTTCGTCGTCGTCGTCGGCGTCGGCGTCGTCGTCGTCGTCGCCGCTGTCGTCGTCGTCGTCGGCGTCGTAGTCGTCGTCGTCGTCGTCGTCGGCGTCGTCGTCGTCGGCGTCGGCGTCGTCGGCGTCGTCGTCGTCGTCTGCGTCGTCGGCGCCGTCCGTCGTCGTCGTCATCGGCGTCGTCGGCGTCGTCGTCGGCTTCGTCGTCGTCGGCGTCGTCGTCGTCGTCGTCGTCGTCGTCGTCGTCGTCTCGCGTCGTCGTCGTCGTCGTCGTCATCGTCGGCGTCGTCGGCTTCGTCGTCGTCGTCGTCGTCCTCCTCGTCGTCGTCGTTATCGTCGTCGTCCTCGGCGTCGTCGTCGTCGTCGGCGTCGTCGTCGTCGTCCTCGGCATCGTCGGCGTCCTCGTCGTCGGCGTCGTCGTCACGTCGTCGGCGTCGTCGTTGTCGGCGTCGTCGTCGTCGTCGTCCGGCGTCGTCGTCGTTCTCGTCGGCGTCGGCGTCGGCGTCGTCGTCGTCCGTGGCCGCTGTCGTCGTCGTCGTTGTCGTCGGCGTCGTCGTCGACGGCGTCGGCGTCGTCGACGTCCTCGTCGTCGGCGTCGGCGTCGTCGTCGTCGTCGTCGTCGGCGTCGCCGGCGTCGTCGGCGTCGTTGTCGTCGTCGTTGTCGGCGACGTCGCAGGCGTCGTCGTCGTCGGCGTCGTCGTCGTCGTCGGCGTTATCGTCGTCGTCTTCGTCGGCGTGGGCGTCGTCGTCGTCTGCGTCGTCGTCGTCGTCGTCGTCGGCGTCGTCTTCGGCGTCGGCGTCGTCGTCGTCGTCGTTGTCTGCGTCGTCGGCGTCGTCGTCGCCGTCGTCGTCGTCGTCGTCGTTGTCGGCAACGGCGTCGTCGTCGTCGTCGTCGGCGTTGTCTTCGTCGGCTTCGGCATCGGCGTAGTCGTCGGCGTCGTCGTCGTGGTCGTCGGCGTCGGCGTCGTCGTCGTCGGCGTCATCATCGGCGTCGTCGTCGTCGGCGTCGTCGTCGCCAGCGTCGTCGTCGGTGTCGGCGTCGGCGTCGTCTTCATCGTCGTCCTCGTCGTCGGCGTCGTCGTCGTCGTCCTCGTCGTCGTCGCCGGCGTCCTCGGCGTCGTCGTCGTCTGCGTCGTCGTCGTCGTCGTCGGCGTCGTCGTTGTCGTCGTCGGCGTCGTCGGCGTCGTCGGCGTCGTCGTCGTCGTCATCGTCAACGTGGTCGGCGTCGTCGTTGTCGTCGGCGTCGTCGTCGTCGTCGTCGGCGTCGTCCTCGTTTGCGTCGTCGCCGTCGCCGTCGCCGTCGCCGTCGTCGTCGGCGCTGGCGTCGGCGTCGGCGTCGTCGGCGTTCGTCGTCGCGGCGTCGTCGGCGTCGTCGTCGCCGGCGTCGTCGTCAACGTCGTCGGCGCCGCCGTTCGTCGTCCGGCGTCGTCGTCGTCGTCGTCGGGTCGTCCTCGTTTCGTCGTCGTCGTCGTGTCGGCGCCGGGCATCGTCGGCGTTGTCGGGCGTCGGCGTCGTACGTCGTCGGCGGTTGCGGTCGTAGGCGTCGTCGTCGTCGGCGTCGTCGCGCCGTCGTCGTCGTCGTACGTAGCGGCGTCGTCGGCGTCGTCGTTGGCGTCGTCGTCGTCGGCGTGTCATCGTTTTCGTCGTCGTCGGCGTCGGCTCGTCGTCGTCGTTGCCGCCTGCGTCGTCGCGGTGTCGGACGTCGGCAATCGTCGTCGTCGTCGGCTCGTCGGAGTCGTACGTTGTCGGAGTCGTCGTCGTCGTCGTCGTCGGCGTCGGCGTCGCGTCGTCGTTGGCGTTCGGCCGTCGTCGGCGTCGGCGTCTCGTCGTAGTCAGGCGTGGTGGCGTCGGCGTCGTTCGTCGTGTCGTCGTCTGCGTCGGCGTCGTCGTCGCGTTGGCGTCGCGTTGTCGTTGCGTAGTCGTCGTCGTCGTCGTTCGTCAGCAATGGCGTCGTCGTCGGCGTCGCCGTCGTTGTGTCGTCGGCGTCGTCTTTCAGGCGTCGTCCGCTCAACGTCGTCGTCGGCGTCGTCGTCGGCGTCGGCGTCGTCGTCGTCGTCGGCGCAGTCCTCGCTTGTTCGTCGTCGTCTCATCGCGTCGGCGTCGTCGTCGTCGCCGCTGTCGTCGTCGTCGGCGTCGTAGTCGTCGTCGTCGTCGTCGTCGGCGGCGTGTCGTCGTGGCGATGGCGGTCGTCGGCGTCGTGGCGTCGTCGGCGTCGTCGGCGCCGTCGTCGTCGTCTTCGGCGTCGTCGGCGTCGTCGTCGTTCTCGTCGTCGTCGGCGTCGTCGTCGTTCTCGTCGTCGTCGGTGTCGGCGTTGTCGTCGTCGTTGCCGCTGTCGTCGTCGTCGTTGTCGTCGGCGTCGTCGTCGTCGTCGTCGGCGTCGTCGGCGTCGTCGTTGTCGGCGTCGTCGTCGTCGTCGTCGTCGTCGGCGTCGGCGTCGTCGTCATCGACGGCGTCGGCGTCGTCGGCGTCGGCGTCGTCGGCGTCGTCGGCGTCGGCGTCGGCGTCGTCCTCGTCGTCGTCGTCTGCGTCGGCGTCGTCGCCGTCGTTGGCGTCGGCGTTGTCGTTGCGTCGTCGTCGTCGTCGGCGTTGTCGTCGTCGGCGTCGGCGTCGTTGGCGTCGGCGTCGTCGTCGTCGTCGGCGTCGTCGTCGTCGGAGTCGTCGGCGTCGGAGTCGGTCGGCGTCGACGCCGTCGTCAGTTCGTGTCGTCGCTCGTCGTCGTCGTCGTTGGCATCGTCGTCGTCGGCGTCGTCGTCGTCGGCGCGGCGTCGTCGTCGTCGCGTCGGCGTCGGCGTCGTTGCCGTCAGCGTCGTCATCGTTGTTGTCGCTTCGTCGTGGGCTAGCGTACGTAACGGCGTCGGCGCGTCGGCGGCTTCGTCGGCGTCGTCGTCGGTCGTCGGCATAGTCGTCGCGGCATCGTCGTCGCGGCGTCGTTGTCGTAGGAGTTCGGCGCCTTGTCGTCTTCGTCGTCGTGTCGCGTCGGCGTCCGTCGTCGTCGTCTTGTTGGTGGCGTGTTGTCGTCGTACGTCGTCGCCGTCGTGTTCGGCGTCGTCGGTCCGGCTTCGGCGTCGTCATCGGCGTCGTGGTCATCGTCGTCGGCGTCGTCGTCGTCGGCGTCGTTGTCGTGGTCGTCGGCGTCGTCATTGTCATCGTCGACGTCGTTGTCGGTGTCGTCGTCGTAGGCGTTGGCGTCGTCGGCGTCGTAGTTGTCGGCGTCGTCGGCGTCGTTGTCGTCTGTGTCGTCGTCGTCGTCGTCGTCGGCGTCGTCGTCGTTGTCATCGTCGTCGTCGTCGGCGTAGTCGTCGGCGTCGGCGTCGGCGTCGTCGTCGTCGTCGTCGGCGTCGGCGTCGCCGACGCCGCCGTCGTCGGCGTCGTCGTTGTCGTCGTCGTCGGCGTCGGCGTCGGCGTCGGCGTCGTCGGCGTCGTCGTCGTCGTTGTCGTCGGCGTAGTCGTCGTCGGCGTAGTCGTCGTTGTC